CTTAGAGATCAAAACCCAAATGTTTTGAGTTGTCTCAGTTTTGAACTGGGGCGTCAAAATAATATATGTACATGTACTATAACAAAACAAAAAAAAATGTGATATGATTTAAATATTTTCTAAGCATATAACATTAGATGAATTATAATATTAATAAATATTTAAAATGATTTTCCTCTTATATACATTTTTTTTCTCATCAAATATGATAGTAAACTTGATAAACTTAACTATAAAAAAATTATATAAATTTGAATTTACAGTATATTACAAAAACAACATATTTACGAAACGATTAACCTCAATTTTTAACGGCTTTAAAAGTTTTCAATGCACTTTAAGGCATATATTAGCCGTTGACAATGGTAAAACGTACATTTACTATACTTTTTAATACTTTTGTCGTTTTTATATTTGATATTTATGGTTAAATATTTGATTTACAAAAAGTATATATAATATAAATAATTAGATATTCGATCATTCAATTAAAAGAGTTTTAGACTTATATAAAACTAAAGTTATCTTTCTAATAATATTCATAATCCAGAGAAATTACGTAGTTCAAAAAATACATTGTAAAATATTATAAAAGTAAAAATGGTTGCTAGACGGACATTTGATGACTATAATATAATCAATATTTTGTGTCAACGAAAATAATTAATATAAAAGATATGTAGTTTTAAGTTTTATCTTACCAATTAAACAAATACTTATAATTATGTTCCACCACGCAAAAACAGCCATTATTATTGGTATTAACAAGTAGTTAACTTATAAAATAAGTTCACTCGACCTATTAAAAAAATAAATTTAGAATTTATTATCAATATTTTTATTGTAAAACAAGGATTATGAATCCAACATTTACTACCAGTGTTGCATTAGTTATAGTTCTAAGGCAACTGAACAAATGATCGTTTGTCAGATGAACATAACATCATTTAAAAATTTTCTTAACATTTTATTGTATACATGATAAAAACATGGCCTATTCTTTTTTAAAAAGCCATTAACTATTTAATAATTGAATATTCATATTTCTTTAATCAAAGTAATAAAAAAAGATTATTTAAAACTTATTGAGTTATTTTCATACCTTGGTACAATATTAGAGGATTCACTGGCCTTTTAGCTTCGATGCGAAGCTTAAAAGGTATTGGTTTTACTCTGTGTTTTTTTTTTGTGTCTGTTACCACTTTTTCTCAGCTCTCACCGAACCGATATTTTTCAATGATACGTCAAAAGATCACAAATTGTATCTAGTCGAAGACATTACCCTCAAAAATTGAAAAAATTTCCCTCGTTCCCCGTAAATGGGGGGAACCTCCAAAAAAATTACGAATTTAAAAATCGCTAATTTTCGAAATTTTTTCAATTTTTTTTACTTAAAAGTGCCATAACTTTTTCAAAAATAAACATATCAATATAATTCTTTTTTATATAGATGCATAATATCATTACCTTTCATTTGGTATATTTTTTTCATAAATTTAACCCTTAACCTGCCCACAAGGGGGGATTTAAAATGACAACTTTTTCACAAAAAATTAACTTTTTCAACTTAACTTTTGAAAATGTTCCGGAAGGTCTGACACTTTTATATATATCTTAAATTAAAGCTAATGTAATATACTTTATTATGAAAAAAAAAAATTTCGGACTTTATCTTATCTTCATGGTGAAAATGGCTACCGAATGCTATTTTTGTGTGAAAATTTTCGATTTTGTATTTTCCATTTTTAACTTTATTATGCTATAACTTTTTGAAAAATGTATGAATCATTACAATTTTTTTATGAGAAGTAGTATTTATATAGATCTTTCATTCGACATACTGTTTTTTTAAATCGGACCATTTCCCTAAATACAGGGGGGATTCAAAACATAAAAATGCATATAGAAAGTAGAACTTTTTCAACGTAACTTTTGAAAGTGTTCCGGAAGGTCTGACACTTTTATATATATCTTAAATTAAAGCTAATGTAATATACTTTATAATGGTAAAAAAAAATTTCGGACTTTATTTTATCTTCATGGTGAAAACAGACATTAAACTTAATAAAAAAAATACGATTTTTGTAAAAAAATTCTTTTTTATATTTTTAACTTTATAATGCTATAACTTTTTGAAAGATGTATGGATCAATATAATTATTTTTTTTTGTAGATGCATGATGTCTTTACCTATCATTTGGTATATTTTTTTTATAAATCTGACTTTTTACCTGCCAACAGGGGGGGATTCAAAATGACAACTTTTTCACAAAAAATTGACTTTTTCAACTTAAATTTTGAAAGTGTTCCGGAAAGTCTGACACTTTTATATATATATTAAATTAAAGCTAATGTAATCTACTTTATTATGTAAAAAAAAAATTTCGGACTTTATTTTGTCTTCACGGTGAAAATGGCTACCAAATGCTATTATTGTGTGAAAATTCTCGATTTTATTTTTTACATTTTTAACTTTATAATGCTATAACTTATTGAAAAGTGTATTGATCAATATAATTTTTTTATGGGAAATACTATTTTTTAATAATCCCTTTTTCATTCGACATACTTTATCTTAATCAGGATATTAATAAGGAACTAGCAGTTTATGAAGCTTTTGGAATAATCCACCAATTTTTTTTAATTAAACACTATCTAAAGATTTGCATCGAAGCGTTTATTTTTGATAGTGATTTTAATCACTGTCAGATATCATTATACTTGATCCAACTATGCCACGTCACCACTGTGCCGCGACCCCCCTGTGCTGGGTTTTTTAAAGGTGAGGTAATCGAGTAGTAGCTGTACCTAAATTTATTATTAAATATATTATGAACACTGAAATCAATCAAAGTACTATTTGCTCAAATGTTTGTTCAATTTTCTTATCTTTAAATCAACAACTTAGGGCCAAACTATAATTTAATTTTTTCAATTAAAACATACATTTTAATTAATTTGTAATAAATATTTTTTTTTATTACATCATTGTAATAATAATTCAGAATTTTCATCATGTATTTTATTACAAGTATCTGAAAACATATTTTTCTATTATTACTATTATTTTTTGTTGGTTGAAAATGAATTTTGATGCATTAATTAAACTCTAAGTTCTTAATTTTTTTTTATAGATTATATAGATAAAAAAAATACAGAGCCTACTTCGATGGAATCGATAATTAATCTAGCTGCACTGAATATGCTGACTTTTAGTGGCAAAATGAAGAGTGGTCAGCCTTTTTTGATATGTTCCGACGCCTGGTACATTTTAGTGCGACTATAACCCCAGTTAAAAAATTCTTTTATTTCAAATAATCGTCAAATGGAGAAACAGCTAGTTGTATAAGATGCATTGAGACAACGGACGCCAACTATGATGCAGTCTGGATTACATTAATTGAACGTTATAATAATAAAAAGGTGTTAGTCCAAAGACATGTCCGAAATATTGTCGAATTAAAACCGTTACAAGATAGTACTGCCGATTGATTACGTATATTAATCGACGACTTAAATAGTAATATGAGAGCTCTAGATACTTTAGGCGAAAAAACCAGGAGACTGGAGTCCTTTACTGTTGCACATAGTGAGCTCAAAGCTAGATCGAGAAACGTCGAAGTCGTGGAAGATAAAGTGACACAAGAATAAAGTACCAACTGTCAAGGAATTAACAACATTTATAGTCAAACGTTTTCAAATAATGGAATCCATAGATTCAACGCAATTCAGTAATGATTATTTATCGCCTGTTGACAGAAAAAGTAGTTTAGTAAAACATCCAAATAATAGTCGAAAAGTCAACTACTATGATAACTACAGTAATTAAGTGTTGTTTATAATCAGCCGCACAATATACATAAGTGCCCATCTTTTATCGCGTTATCGGTAACCGAGCGCATATCTAAAGTAAATAGAATAGGCCTGTGTAAGATCTGTTTACATAAACACGACAAAACTAAATGTTTTGGTAGATATTGATTAAAATGTAATGATCCTCATAATACGTTACGTTGTAACATTTAAATAACGGTGTAAAATCAAATCGATCTGAAATCCAAACAAAGAGCAATTCGAGTGAGTCATCTATTACACGACTACCAGCGGCGTATTTATATGCAGGCCTTTAGGCAACTGCCTAAAATGGCTGATTTTAAGGGGCGGCAAATATTGAAGGCCGATAAATTTATAAAAAACGAGTTATTTTAGCTTCGATGCGAAGCTTAAAAGGTATTGGTTTTACTCTGTGTTTTTTTTTTGTGTCTGTTACCACTTTTTTTCAGCTCTCACCAAACCGATTTCTTTTAACGATACGTCAAAAGATCACAAATCGTATCTAGTCGAAGACATTACCCTCAAAAATTGAAAAAATTTCCCTCTTTCCCCGTAAATAGAGGAAACCTCCAAAAAAATTACAAATTAAAAAAACGATAATTTTCAACATTTTTTCAATTTTGTTTTACTTAACACTGCCATAACGTTCTCAAAAATGAATAAATCAATATAATTTTTTTTATAGATGTTTGATGTCTTTACCTATCATTTAGTATATTTTTTTTATAAATTTAACCCTTTATCTGCCCACAGGGGGGGATTTAAAATGAAAACTTTTTCACAAAAAATTCAATTTTTAAACTTAACTTTTGAAAGTGTTTCGAAAAGTCTAACACTTTTATATATATCTTAAATTAAAGGTAATGTAATATACTTTATTATGGAAAAAAAAAATTTGACCTCTGGATTTGTCTTTGTGGTGAAAATAGACTTCAAAGTTAATAAAAAATTACGATTTTTTTTAAATAATTCTTTTTTATATTTTTAACTTAATAATGCTATAACTTTTCGGAAAATGTATGGATCAGTAAATTTTTTTTTTATAGATGATTGATGTCTTTACCTATCATTTGGCATATATTTTGTATAAATCTAACCCTTTATCTGCCCACAGGGGGGGATTTAAAATTACAACTTTTTCACAAAAAATTAACTTTTTCAACTTAAATTTTGAAAATGTTCCGGAAAGACTGACACTTTTATATATACCTTAAATTAAAGCTAATGTAATGTACTCTATTATGCAAAAATAAATTTCGGACTTTATTTTGTCTTCACTAAGAAAATGGCTACCGAATGCTATTTTTGTGTGAAAATTCTCGATTTTATATTTTACATTTTTTACTTTAAAATGCTATAACTTTTTATAAAATGTATGGATCAAAACAATTTTTTCATGAGAAGTATTATTTATATACATTCGACCTACTTTATCTTATCAGGATATAAATAAGGAAATAGCAGATCATGTAGCTTTTGGAATAATCCACCAATTTTCTAAAATTAATCACCAATTTAAGATTTGCATCGAAGAGTTTTTTTTTATAGTGATTTTAATCACTGTCAGATATTATTATACTTGACCCAACTATGCCACGTCAACACTGTGCCGCGACCCCCTGTGCTGGGTTTTTATATTGTTGTTATGACATTGACTTATAATAATAATTATTATAATCGTTTTCATTTATTGTGTATTTGTTATATGTATATAATATAACAAAGTTTAATCTATTTTCAATTTCCTGATAACAATAGCAGAGATTATTAATAAAATACGAGTTTATTACTTTAATAGTACCTTTCTTATTGCTGTCTATATATATACAAGTCAAAAACGAAAAATTTACTCGCATGACTAAAAAGTGATTACCCCTAAGATAGTACTAGTATTTATTTAGATATTTTGGATATTAAAGGATAAATAAACATAAACATGTATATTTTAAGTAGACAAATTGTTTATTTTTAAATCAACTAAATAAGTAACTAGATAATGAAGAAATCATATAAATTTATTTTATTAATATTCTAAAATGTTTTATCAATTAATAACAACAATGCAATTTTGAGTTGATGTTAAGAAATTGTTTAAAAGGACATAATTTACAGATCATTTTAATCGACGTTAATCATATAACGCTAAAAGACTGCGCTAAAAATCCAATATTGACTATATTACATTTTAAAATTAACACAAAGTGTGATTTTGTTAACTAACTGCAAGTGAATTTTTACTTTGAAAATTCTGACTTCATTAAGTTAAAACTGAATTCTGTATTTATTTGGTGTTGGCAACGATCGTACGCCATTTTTGCTTACTGAATCTCCTTTAAATAATCCATCTCTTTGTAAAGATCCTCTTCTTCCTTGCATTCCACCGGGAGAAAATATTCTTAATTTAGATTCAACATTAGTCATTTTATTTACTTCCGGTGTTCCTAAGCTAGCATAATCAATTTTCCTAGGAGGTGGTATAAAACTTCTTTGTGTTTCTTTATAAAACGATCGACCGGG